CCTTTCTGAAGAAGGGTCCCGACCCAAAACGTCAGCTTTCCTGCTCCTCTGATGCTGCCTGGCCTGCTGTGTTCCTCCAGCTCCACACTGTGTTATCTCTGACTCCAGCATCAGCAGTTCTTACTATCTCACAATATAAAATGCAGTTCAATTATCTAAATGTCTCCTAAAGCAAAGAACTAACTTGGCCAATGCATTTTTTTATTGGCATAATGATTGGAAAATGCAAGATGATTCAGAAATATCAGGATTCAGAAACTTGGGTCTTAAATTTAACTACCCCTGCACAGGGTCTCTTACCAAAGCCAACAAACCCTTCCACCTCGACAACAGCAAAACCTCTGTTTCTTGCTGTACAGCTATGACATATGGACTTTCAGCGAAGAAAAGAAGCTCAACGACTTTATCTTTGCTGTCTGTGGTATTTCATCAGTATACCGCAGTAGGACAAAATCATGAATGTGGCAGTTCTCTCAAAGGCGGACTCTCAAATTTGTTAGCTCCAATACAGGGGGCTTATTGGTTGGGCACATTCACAAGATGGAACATGATCGTAAAGCCAAGGACCTTCTGCATGGACAGGTAGATGGAACTAGCTAAGGAGGATGCCAAAAGTCGCACTTCAAGGAAGCTTCCAAGTGTGATGACTCCTCACTATTGATTATCACACCTCAGAGTCACCAGCTAGCAACAGAAGGAAATGGCAACTTTTCCAGGGGGCTACTATGCATCACATTGATCAGCAGCAACAGTAGCCTACCAAACGATGTTAATGTCTAAAAAAACCCACAATCCTATCTGGCAGTTGCACGTGCAATTCTTGTGGCAGAATCGCACTCTCTTCAGCCATGAGCAAAGGTGCACCATATGATGACCGATAGCTTCTAGGATTGAAAATATAATGCAGAGTTAACACAGTGGAAATGCCATGTTTGAAGCTCCTTGGGTTAAAGGTAGCAAGTAATTTCATAAGGGCAGTGTAATTCACCAGTGACAAAGAGGAACAGTGCATCAATTTCTCAATTCCAATAGTAGATCTTGTTGAACATGAATTTTTCACCGAGACTATGAAACATCATCACTGAAACATCATCAGCCAATGGAAAAGACTGAACCAAACACATTGCCACAGAAAAGAAACAGGTAAAGCTCTGCTTGGTGAGAAAGAATGGAAAAAATTCCACCTTCTCAATATGAATTTCATTACTGAATAAAGGCACAAGTAGTGACTGATTGCTGTAATTGAACAGAAGTGGTAAATGCTATTCGTGTCCATTCTGAAGACCTGAGACATAATGCTAGATTGAAATGTCAGTGCAGCACTCAGTTCAGGCTATCATTCACACCAGACATAATATTTCAAAGTAAAGCTCCATCAATCTCTCAGATGGACACAAAATATTCCATGGACTATTCAAAGAACACAGGAATCACCATGGCCAGTGCTAATGCATAAACCGACATCAATGCCTGGAATTTTCCATGAATTTGTAAGGAACGGAAAGTGGAACTGTAAACAAATTGTACTGACTTGCCCGTTCTTATCCTAGATCTCACTAGAACTTAAATTAACAGCCAACAGGGAAGAGAATGGGATGGCAGTCCACATCCTCTGCAAATTCAGCTGGGATGTGCTGGTGTCACCTTTAAATCTGATTTGATCATCTCCTTTACAACCTCCAAACAAAAACTGCCGATCTTGGTTTGGGAGAAGGCCGAGGGGTTACTGCACCAGATTTTCACTATATCTACTCTGCAGGATCCACTATCAGTCTTAAAGCAGTTCCACCCAGATACAAGAGTTTGAATATCATGCCTCAGGGAGAAAACTAGAAAATATTAGTGTAACGGAAACCTGATATGATGCTAAATCAACATCGTGTCAAAATGATTCAAGTCAATGATTTTGCAAGCTCAAATGACCCTGCTTCCACGGGACTCTAAGTAGTGCATTTCAGATCCTTGATACTCGATGCTTGAAAAACTTTTTACTCACATCATCATTACTTTTTGCTGATCTTACCTCAATGCCCTCTGGTTCTTAATCCTTCTAACAATGGCAACCCTACCTGCTTTGCCCAGATCCCTCATGCCTTCAGCTGATACAATTACAACATTTAAAAGGTATCTGAATGGGAACATGAATAGGAAAGGTTTAGAGGGATACGAGCCAAATGCTGGCAAGCGGGACTAGATTAATTTAGGATATCTGGTCAACACGGATGAATTGGACCAAAGGGTCCGTTTCCATGCTGTCCAGGTATGACTCTTATAAATCTCCTCCAAACCTTCTCATCTCCAAGGAAAACTGTTATCTCGTCTTTATGTGTAACTGAGGCAATTCATCCCTGTAACTACTCCCATACATCATCTTTGTATCATCTCCAATATTTTCACATCCTGCCTGAGGTGCAGTGACCAGAATTGGATACAATACTATAGCTGAAGCCAAACTAGCATGTTACACAAGTTTAAAATAACTTAATTGTTTTGCACTCTATGCCCCTATTGATAAAACAAGGATGTCACATGCTCTCTACCTATTTATGCACGGTTATGTTCCAGCTTGCCTTGTACAATTGCACTCTATATTGTCTCTCTGCATTCTCCCGATCAAACTGAATCACTTCATACCTCTCTGCATTAAAATTTTTTCTTCCATGTGTCTGCCAATTTCTCAAAGCTGCCCAGGTTAGAAAATGACAGGTAGCACCACTGCACTTCATTATCCTTTCATGCATTTTTCCAGTTTTGGTGCTTTATCAGCTTTAAGTACAGGTAGATACCAGGTCTGCTTTTTTAGCTCACAAAGGAAATATACTATAAAACAATACATGCTTTATTCCCTGCAACAATTTTAGTACTGCACCATTTCTTTTATAGTTTTGTTTTTTTATTGCAGAATATTCAACAATATATTGCTGTCTTTCATTCCTGAAAATGCTTCCAAGCGTTGATGGAGGAACTTAACATATAGGTGATAATCATCTCATTTTCAGTACAGTCATGATTCCCTACTAAATTTGCACTTGAATGGAGATATTTTCTAATCAACCTGTTCACAAATATTATCAAATACCTCTAGAGCAGATAGGACTTGAACCCAGGTCTCCTGGGTCAGAGATAGGAACACAACCAGAACAGCCCCCAATTTAAGTAAAAGGATGAAGTATATGAGACTCACCTACCTTCGTGAGTTGGTAATGCAAAACAGATACACCAACATGAACTTAGCCCTCCTTTGAATGCCAATTTGAAACTTCTATCTGAGTTCAATGAGCGAATGACTTATTTCAAACTTCTGATATTTTTCACATGCATTTAGCAATAGGGATCATGTTCAACATAAAATTACTGTTGAATGAAAAGTGAAGACGACAGCAAAACTAGAGTTTCGTGCATATGTTTCAAGCAACTGACGAGGGGAAACAAAGTGACTATCTGCAGTTTGAGATAGTAAGAATTGCCGATGCTGGAGTCAGAGATAACACAGTATGGAGCTGGAGGAACACAGCAGGCCAGGCAACAACAGGAAAGCTAACGTTTCGAGTCAGGACCCCTCTTCAGAAATGGGGCTTTTCTGAATTTCTAAAGCAGGGTCCCGATCCGAAATGTCAGCTTTCCTGCTCCTCTGATGCTGCCTGGCCTGCTGTGTTTCTCCAGCTCCACACTGTGTTATCTACAGGTTTGAGATGCTTTTTAAATGCAGTGCAGAAACTCAGTTCCTTCCTTACTAGAGATCTGATTGCTTCTGCCCAAACATCCAGGCACAAGTTGTTCAGCAACTAACCACATAGCTGTTGGCAGGTTGCCTTTGTTATCAACAATTGATCACTATTCCACAGGTTAATCAGCTACTAGTGGTTAGCTAAATCTCCATTCATACACAGCTCCTTCAGCTCATCATCAGCTCATCCGTGACTAGGCTTTCCCCACTGGTTGAATCAATAGCTGGGTATACAACACTTCTTTTTTAAAAATTCAATGACAGGATGAAGGATTACTGGCTAGGCAGCATTTATTGCCCACCGCTAAGGGCAGTTAAGAGTCAGCCACATTGCTGTGGGTCTGGAGTCACATGTAGGCCAGACCAGATAAGGATGGCAGTTTCCTTCCCCAAAGGACATTAGTGAACCAGATGGGTTTTTCCAACAATCGACAATGGATTCATGGTCATCATTAGGCCAAATTCAAATTCCACCATCTGCCATGGCGGGATTCGAACCCAGGTCCCCATTATCTGGGTCTCTGGATTAACAGTCCAGCTACAATACCACTACGCCATCGCCTCCCCTTACAAACGGTATCAAGTATCTTGCATTTAAAAAGTGCTAAACACTTTCAACAATCTTTGGCTTTTAAAACACTCTCGCATGTCAAAAATACAGATAAATGAAAAGATACAGTCTTTACAGTCAAGAGGAATATTTTCCATACAAAATCATTCCAGTTCACGATGTCCTGTCAGAGATGATGATGAAACACAAAGTTATTATATCTTTTAAAAGAAAGGTAAATAGAAACAACATTCAGAGTGGTGTGGGGAAAGGCCTTCGGAGAAGCAGCAGAGTTATGCAGCATCAAGTGAAATTCTGCACCATAAAATTCTACAATTCTATCTTCTTTAAGACAGCTGTTCTTAGTAACTTCTGCTATTAGGGAGTAAAAATTGAAAGAACTGCAGATGGAACAAAAACATAAGTTGTTGGAAAAGCTCAGCAGGTCTGGCAGCATCTGTGAAGAAAAATCCATTAACGTTTTGGGTCTGGTGACCCTTCCTCACACCTTTCCACAAACTTTCTCCTTCAGTCGTCAGATCAAGTTCTGAAACAAGACAATTAAGGTAAAGTGTGCTGAATAGTCTTTTCACGTTCTTTTGTTCCTTTATTTGTAAATTGATTTCAAAGAAAGTTTAAAATATGACATCTCTGCCTAAGCAATTGTTCAGAAAGGGAGAAAAGTGAGACAAAGGCTAAAATTCAAAACTGCCAGTCTAATCAAAGAACATGACTTCTCTCTTTCCGTTACTTACCGCGGCAAAGGATGAGAACAGGCCACCTCTGTGATTTGCGTCTTTTTTGCATCAAGTTGCCTGAATTCTGCTATTAGAGTTTCTAGATCTTCCTGAGTGGATCAAAAAGAATTTTGTTTAGTGAACTCTTTTCAGGACTTCAATCATAACTTAAAATATGACTGATGACGAACATTAATGTCAATAAAAAGAAAAACGTAAAATGGAGGCGGGGGGGGGGGGGGGGGCGGCGGGACAAAAAGAAAAGCTGCTCCAGAATTCCCATTGGTTCAGGATTAGGAGACGTGACGGCGTAGTGGTATTGTTACTAGTCTATGGCACATAGAGGAATTTGAATTCAACAAAATCTGGAACTAAACGTCTAATAATGACTTTAAACAATCAATCATTGTCAACTATCGTAAAAACCCATCCTGTTCTTTAACGTCCTTTAGGGGAGGAAAGCTATTGTCCTTACCCTTTAGGACTCACGATCTGGCATTCACGAGACTCCAGTTCCACAGAAATGTAGTGGACTCTTAACTGCCTTCTGAAATGGCCCAGTAAACCATTCATTTGTATGAACCACTAAAATGTCTCAAAAAATGAGGTTTGAAACTACATGAACTACATGGTATTGAACAAGACACCGAAATGACAACATCAAACCATGTCTACCCTGTAAGGTCCTCCTCACCAAAATCCGCGGGCCAGTGCCATTATTGAGCAAGATGTCTTACAGACTCATCAGAGTAACCTGACAATCACATACACAGAATAATACCTTAGACAATGACCTAGACAACCCTCACCGCAGGTCCTATCCCACTAGCAAGAAGAACCCTGCAGAGGTGCCAGCACCGTGGTATAAAGGAAGGAGGGAATGGCCTTGGAGTCCTCAACATTGACTACAGACCCCATCATGTTTCGTGGCATCAGACCAAAGAAACCTCCAGATGATTACCACGTACCACATACTCTTGGTTGACAAATCAGTACTCCTCCATATTAAACACTACTTGAAGGAAGCACTGAAGGTGGCAACAGGGCAGAATGTACTCACGAGTGGGGGACTCCAATGCCCATCACCATCAGTGGCTTGTTGGCACCACTACTGACTAACTGGTAGAGTCCTAAGTTGCTGTTAGTCTGGGTCTGCAGCAGGTGGTGATGGAACCAAGAAGAAAAACATGCTTGACCTCACGCTCATCAATCTACCTGCCACAGGTGTATGTGGCCATGACAATATTGGTAAGATTGATCACCACACACTCCTTGTGGAGACAAAGTCCTCTCTTGACATTCAGAATACTTTCCATCATCTTGTGTGGTACAATCACCATGCCAAATGGGATAGACTTCAGACATTCACGAGGTATACTGGGCCATCAGTAGCAGCAGAACTGTACAAAATTTGCAACTTCATGGCCCCACATATCCCCACTGGACCATTACCATCAAGACAGGAGATCAACTCTGCTTCAAAGAAGAGTGCAGGAGTGCCTCCCAGGAGCAGCACCATTCATACCTTTAAATGAAGTGCCAACCCAGTGAAGCTATAAAATAGAACTACTCAAGCCACAAGTGAATAGGGAGCTAAAGATTCCACAAACAACTAATAAGAACTGAGCAGTCTTTCCACACTTTAATTGTGAATGGTGGTGAACAAATAAGCAACTCACTCAAGGAGGACGGTCCACAAATATATCATCCTCAAAAGAAGTGAGAGCCCAGCACAACAATCTTCAGCCAAACGTACGAAGTACAAGATCCATTGCTCCTCCTCCAGAGGTCCCTAACTTCATAGATGCCAGTTTTTATCCAATTTGAGTCGCTCCATGTAATATCAAAAAATGGCTGAAGGTACTGGATACTACCAAGGCTATGGGGCTTGACAACATTCCAGCAAAAGTGCTGAAGACATATGCTCCTGAACATGCCATACCTCTAGCCAAACTTGGAAAATTGGCACACATGTTCTGTACACAAGAAGCAGAACAAATTCAACTGAGCCAATTACCGCTCCATCAGTCTACTGACAATCATCAGTAAAGTGTTCAAGCAGAATTGACATTGCAACAAATTTCTAATTGACGCTCAGTTTGGGCACCAGCATAGCTGGGAAGAAAGGTGAAATGCAGGACCAGTAATCTCAGGATTACTACCGTTGCCACAAGCTAGTTAGAGAAGAAACAGCAGGATATATAGGATGAACACATGGCTGAAAAGATGGCACGGGTTTCAGATTCATGGGGCATTGGGACCAGTTCCGGGGGAACGTGGGACCTGTACAAATTGGACAGGTTACACCTAGGCAGGACCAGGGCAGATGTCCTTGGGGGAACAGTTGGTAGAGTGGTTGGGGAGGGCTTAAACCAGTGTTGCAGGAGGAGGGGAATGAGAGGAGTAGGGTGGTAGATCCAGAAATTGAGGGAGAGGCAGAAACCAAGGCAAACATGACTAAGAACAAGAACAGGCAGGGAAACACTGTTGAAAAGAGCAGGGGATGTAGTCTGAAATGCATGTGTTTCAATTCAAGAAGTATAGGCAAAGTAGATGAACACAGAACTTTGGATTAGTACTTGAAACTATGACATTATTGCAATTACAGAGACTTGGCTAAAAGAGGGACAGGACTGGCAGCTGAATGTCCCAGGATTTAGATGTTTCAGGTGTGATAGAAAGGGATGTAAAAAGGCCAGGGGAGTTGCATTACTGGTAAAGCAGTATCTCACAGCTGTACCAAGGCAGGATACATCAGAGGACTTATGCAACGAGGCAATATGGGTAGAAATCAGGAACAGGAAAGGTGAAATCACAATGCTGGGGGTATACTACAGGCCTCCCAACAGTCAGTGGGAGTTAGAGGAGAGAATATGTAGACAGATTTTGGAAAGATGTAAAAACAGCAGGGTTGTTGTGGTAGGTGATTTTAACTTCCCCTTTATTGACTGGGACTCAACGTGCTAGGGGCTTGGATAGGGCAGAATTTCTAAGGGCCATTCAGGAGGAATTCTTGACACAATATGCAAACAGTCCAACCAGGGAAGGGGTTATACTGGACCTGGTTTTGGGAAATGAGCCCGGCCAAGTGAGTGAAGTCTCAATATCAAGCAGGAACTGGAGAATTTTGATTGGAGGCGGCTGTTTGAGAGAGTATGTGGGAGTATTTCAAACAGCAGTTGATAAGAGATCAGGAGTGGCAAGTCCCGCGAGAATGAAGGATAAGTACGGCAAGTTCCGTGAACCTTGGATGACCAGGGATGTTATGACCTTGGTCAGAAAGAAAAAGGAAGCATACATAAGGTCTAGGAGGAAGGGAACTGATGAAACCCTTGAAGTATATTAGGAAAGTAGGAAAGAACATAAACAAGAAGGAAAAGTCATTAGCAAACAGGAATAAGGAGAATCCCAAGTCTTTTTATACATATATAAAAAGCAAGAACATAGCCAGGGAAAGCGTTGGCCCATTTAAAACAAAGGATGGAATCTACATGTGCAGCCAGAAAAGGTAGGTGAGGTCCTAAACGAATACTTTGTGTCAGTACTCACCAAAGAGAAGGAATTGGTGGAGGATGATCTCATGGAAGGGAGTGTCGAGTTTCTAAGCCAAGTTGCTATTAATAAAGAAGAGGTGTTGTGCATCTTAAAAAGTATCAAGGTAGGTAAGTCCCTGGGTCCTGATGGGACCGATCCCAGAATATTGAGGGGCAAGAGAGCAAATTGCTGGAGCATGGACAATATCTTTGTATCCCATTTGGCCACAGTTGAGGTCCCAGGCGAATAGAGAATAGCCAATGTTGTCCCACTGTTTAAGAAGAGCAGCAGGGATAGTCCTGGAAATTACAGTCCTGAGATTCTCAGGGACAAGATCTATACGCATTTAGAAGCAAATGGACTTATTAGCGATAGACAACATGATTTTATGCAGGGGAAATTGTATCTCACTAACTTGATCAAGATTTTTTGAGGAGGTGACAAAGATGATTAAAGAGGGAAAAGTGGTTGATGTTGTCCACATGGACTTCAGTAAAGCCTTCGACAAGGTTCCTCATGGCAGACTGGTACAAAAGGTGAAGTCACGTGATATCAGGGGTGAGCTGGCAAGATGGGTAAAGAACTGGCTTAGTAACAGGAGGCAGACGGTAGCAGTGGAAGGATATTTTTCAGAATGAAGGGCTGTGACTAGCGGTGTTCCACAGGGATCATTGCTGGAACCCCTGCTGTTTGCAACGTACATAAATGATTTGGAGGAAAACACAGGCAGTCTAATTAGTAAGTTTGCAGATGAAACAAACATTAGTGGAATTGCAGACAGTGAGGAGGATTGTCAGAGGATACAGCAGGATATAGATCAGTTGAAGGCATGGGCAGCAAAATGGCAGATGGAGTTTAATCAGGCCAAATGTGAGATGATGCATTTTGGAAGGTCAAGTCCAGGTGGAAATTACACAGTGAATGGTAGAATGCTTAGGAGCACTGATATACAAAGGGATGTATGTGTGCAGGTCCACAGATCACTGAACGTGGTAGCACAGGTAGATAAGGTAGTAAAAAAGGCTTATGGCATGCTTGCCTTCATTGGAAGGGACACTGAATATATGGATAGGCAAGTTACGCTGCAGCTTTATAGAACTTCAGGTAGGCTACACTTGAATATTGTACACAGTTCTGGTCACCACACTATCAGAAGGATGTGGATGCTTTGAAGGGGGTACAGAGTAAGGTTTATAAGAATGTTTCCTGATATGGGGGATTTTAGCTATGAAGAAAGCGTGAATAGACTGGGTTTGTTTTCACTGGAATGTAGCAAGTTGAGGGGCAACCTCATAGAAGTTTATAAGATTGTGAATGGCATGGATAGGTTGGAACGTTTGAGGCTTTTTCCCCATGGTGGAGGGGTCAATTACTAGGGGACACAGGTTCAAGGTGCGAGGGGTAAGTTTAAAAGAAATGTGCGAGGCAGGATTTTCACACAAAAAGTGGTGAGTGCCTGGAACATGCTGCCCGAGATGGTGGTGGAAACAAACACAATAGCAGCATTCAAGAAGCACATGGATGAATACATGAATAGGAAGTTAATAGAGAGATACAGATCCTGTAAATGAAGGCA